AGTGCTTTTAAAAATAATTAGAGAAAAAAAAATGAAAATTTATTTAAATTGTTTGGTAACAAGCTTGGTTATACCGTCTTAACTTGGATTGTATTTGATTAATTAAAATGTTTTTCTATAATTAATGTCAATAAAAAATTATTCATCCGGTCAAAAAGCTTAAAAATGTAATACGTAAGTTTTTTTATTATAGCTAAAATATTAACAATACATAGGCATCATGGTTATTTTTTATAAGCATTTAAAGTTCAAATTTCGTCAAAACCAAGGTTAATTTGTACTTCAAAACTTATAAAATATAAAATATGTACAGCTAAGGCTAGACAATTTAATACAAGGTCTTTCATACAAGTAGTTCATACTTTTACCGAAAAATTTCAGATAATTTATGAAAATTGGTATGCAAATTAATTATTAATAATTATGTTGACAGTTTAAACTTGATTAATATTTTTTTGAAAAAAGTAATAATAATACGGACAATGGGGGGGGGGGGGGCTTCAGCCCGTTAGCCTCCCCGCTGCGGACGCCACTGATCGGGAGCCTTGTATTACATTTTTACACTTTTTGGCCCAACAGATAAAACTTAACTAACAGAGTTCTTAAGTCGTTGACAATGATAATTAAAATGATTTATAATTAGGTACTAATTATGTACCTACCCCCTGCACAGCGCCACCACGTCATCGCGCACACTGAATAATATTTGAAATCTCAAATTCATAAAATACGATTCCCTTTGGTAGGATTTACCTATGTCCTATACCTTGAATATCCTAATTCTTAATACCTTTATGGCTTAATAGGTACTAGGTACATTAATTATGCCTTAAATACATTATATAGCCAGGGGGTTTTGAGTGTTTCAAATACCCCCCACACGCACACATTGCCATTCCCTAATAAATGTTTTATTATTTATTTGTACTATCAATTTACAAAAACTGTAAGAAACTTTGTTTGATTTATACTTAACCCTCCCCCGCTTTCATAATCCTTGCTAGGACATTGAATATAGCCATAAACCATAGGTAGCTTAAACCGTGTTTTATAGGCATATGGCACATACCTACTCATACATACCTACATTATAAGAATAAATTGATGTTAAAGTAACAATACGTCCCTACGCTATTGGTATATGACGTGTTGTATTAAAATATATACTTAAAATTAAAATGCCTAGGTAGTAGGGGGCCCCACCTACCATCTCTGTAAAAATATGAAAATACAATTGTTGCTATTTTTAGTTTTAATTCAGTATTTGGAAGACGTGTTGGATAACAAAAGTTGCTGGTTCAGAAAAAATAAATGGGCACATTTTGCTTTTAATTCATTTGGATTTGGAATTATGTAAGTACTACATATTATATACATAATTAATTGTCAGAGTTATATTTGTGTGTGTGTGTGGGGGGATATAACTAAGGCTATAACTTAAAAACTAAAGATTTTTTGCAACATCGTTCTTATTAACTCAATAACTCGTTATAAATATAAAATACTTATAATACATAAGGTTTCCGAAATTGTTATGTTATTTTTCCCGATGCTTTTGAATATAGAATAACAGTATTGGGAATATAGGATATTGACCTCCCCAACTAGATTCACTTTCCTATAGAACAAAATACTGAAGTTAAAAATCGAACCATTATTTCGACTAGTTATCGTGTGTGCACAGTGGCGGATTTAGCGTCAGGCAAAGTAGGCAGTTGCCTAGGGCGGCAAATTTTTAGGGGCGGCAATTTTAGGCCAATATTTTATTGAGAATACTCTAAGTTTCTTTTTGATTTTCTAATGTACGGTGATTACTCTGAAGGATGGAAAAAAAATGTTTAATATTTAAGTATAATAATATTCTTGTTAATATAATTTCTTCTTTATTTTATAATACATAACAATAAACGTCCAAGTAAATTATAGAACGACTGCCGGAACGTAGATCTATTATCTAAATACCAAACATGGATAACATATTTCGTTAATTTGTTTTTTTGCTAAGTCGTAATAATTATTAATAATCGCTCGTGGTTCGTTTGATCGCACGGCGTACACACACTACACGCACAATACATACAGATATGATATATTTAATACGAATACGGGTGATGATCGATTCGTATTGGAACAATAGTCTAATTATAAACCAGTCACTGTGAATATTTTATATAATATACTCGTACGTACTATGCATTATGTGTACAAAAATAAAACTATTTCTATCCAAAAGATAAAATTATGTAATAATTGTTTATTTTTCTTCGGGACTATGAAATAGAGGGTGGCCGAGTAAAAAATAGGTTTATTCTGATTAGACATTCGATTATTTTCAACACAACATTCAAGGCGGATAGACTTCATATTCGGTTATTAGTATACTACTTAAATTACTGGTAAGTAAACACTTTATTTTATAAACACATTTTATTAGAACAGTTTATTAACATAACTGCCATTAATTATTGTTTAGTATCAGTTTTTATGATTTATTTTTTTAGTACTTATGTTAAATAAGTACCTATTTAAAAATTCGTTTTCTCGTTGATAAGTTTAATGGGGCGGCAAAAAAAAATTTGCCTAGGGGCGGCAATTGTGTAAATCCGTCTCTGTGTGTGCACACAAAAAAAAAAAAAGTTCAGAATCTAAAATGACAAAATGTTAAATATATATTCATTATTGTCCCTACTCCCTGTAGTCTGTAATTATAATTATATTTTTGGATATCTATTAATTTGATAACAAATCATATTCTTATATTATTTTAATAATATAAATAACACTTTTTATCTAAATTTGTTTACACAGACTCATTGGTATGCTCCCAACAGCATGTGCTGTATTTCCACAATTTAGGTAAGTAAATTTTTTTCATAGTTCACGTTTGATTGACTTCAAAAAAAATAAATGGTATAAATGTATTCTATATGCCTATAATCTATATGTGCAGTCAATACGTGTATTATGTATTTTTACTTTTCAGTTCTGTTAAATTGAGTACATTAAAGAAATTTGATAAAGAAGCTTATAGTCAAGTCACTGAAAAATCTGCTGAACTTTCAGATACATTATATTTCAATAAAGGACTTTAAAAAATATAATCAACTAATAATTACAATTTATTTTTTTAAATTTGAATAAACTTTTTAATATTATTAACAAGTGTACATTTACTACTTATAAAATTAGTCTAATAGTTATTAGGGCCCGGTCGTTAATTCCCTGGAAAAATATGAATTTATGACATAGAAAACACAAAAAAAAAAAAAAGCCCTAAAAATAGTATATTATGTTAATCACCTAAATACTTGTTTAACCATAAGACTATTTAAGTTGGTGAAAATATTTTTTCATTTTAAAATTAAAAATCACTATGTTACAATTTATAAACATACGTGATTTGAACTTCAAAACGAGTTTTAATCTAGAAAATAATTACAAATTTTGCTTTCAGTATTTATAATCAATCGTTAAAAAAAAATGTAATAAGGTCCTAAAACCTTAAAAATTACATTTATCGAATAAATGCAAAATTAAAATTAGTTGTATATATTTGTATGTTATTGAAACATATTTTAAGCTAGGAAAGCATCATCATCTATGCCCTATGGTGTATGATGTTCCAAAAAAATGCAAAAATCATCAACATCCTGGGGTCCTAATAGTAATGCACCATTATTAGGTAGTTATTAGTCACTTATTAAGTAATTACATTTTAAACAAACCTATGCAGTGGGGTGGTGAACTATAATAGTTAGTAGTTACTATAGAATAATAAATTATTACCTATATGGCATATTGGCATATGCCATTATCCATCCATCGACCAACACCCATTGAGAAACACGGATGCGGCAGCCTCTCAATTACACCTTTTGCTACATCAGTACACCACTAGCCTATGTTTAAATAATGATTTAAAGATTCCAAGCAAACATTTTTGGTCAGTTTAATGTTTTTTAGAGGATAATTAATAAAGTTCATATAATAATCTTCTATTCTCACTTGCTGATTTTCAAGGCTTTTGTACTCAATATATGTACTTAAGTTAACCATTAATCAACCAATGAATAAGTATCTGGACTTTTAGATACTTGAGATGATTATAGTTTATCACTTAATCCGTCCAGTATTCACAAACCCATCCAATAATAAAGCTGTTAAGGTTTTGTCAACGTTTATCTTAATTGGATTATGTTTTGGTAATCTTTGGCTAAAAATGTATCATGAAAATTACTTGATATTGAAATATGTGTATAGAAATAATTAATTTTACAAAGTATATCTGTAGTTACAGAAAAATATTTTATTACTGAAAAATAAATATATGCCTTATATAATTATTAGGTTTTAAATAATAAACAATATTTAATAATACATAAAATACATTTGAAACCAATGTCATTTAAGTCTAAACCAAACATATTTGGAATTTTACAACACCTTAGATGAGGTAATTCAAATTTTAATTATTTACACATTTGTAAAAATTTGTAATTATAAAGATGTCAACAATACAATTAAACAAAATTATCAATTATAAACTAATAAATAAATAATAATTTAATCATACTTTTTAGTATTGGGACAAAATTATAAATGGCTATCAAACTCAACTACCAGCTATAATTATTTAACATAATAAATGTGTTCCTTTTTAATTTGAAATGGTAAGGAGAAAATTAACATAAATAAAGTAATGTACTGTAATAAAAAGTAAAATAATTAAGCATTTGTATAAGAGACACAATAGTATCATATGCTACCTATATCAGGGTAATATTTCTTATAATCATCATTTAATAATAATAGTAATTTATATAATATCAAACAGTTTGTAACTTACCAACAAAAAAAGTTAAATAATTATAAATTAACAACAAAGTAAAACAATTAAACATGTAACAAGAATGTTTTGTAAAACATAATAACTTGGATATAGCATTGTGGGTACAATATATAAATACTATAAAGCATGATAAAGAATACAAGTATAATATTCATAAACAGGCAAACATTGAATCATTTGAATAAATCAATGGCACTGTCAAGTTAACATTGATAATCATCTGTTCAGAGTTGGTAGGGTCAATGAATAAACATCTACCATCAGCATGTAGTACATCCAATGGAACACTGTAAGGCTGTACTGGGCCACTCCATGAATGTTGATCAATATCGTTACAAAAATTACTAGTGGTCAGTATAGCTGTAGTTTGTGAAGCACTTGTATTGTCACCATATGATGAAACATGCTGAAAATAACCAAATCATTATTACAATCATACTGTTAACTATATTTTATCATATAAGATTAAGTTTGGCAACGACCATCTCACTCGATAAAATTGGTTTTTGTCATTAGCTTATATTTTTGACGATTGGACACAACCAAAAAATTGCCATGTTTAGGAAAATATAAGCTATACGGTGACGCTAATGAAAGTGAGGCACTTGGCAAGCATTAACAACCCCCCATGGCCACTACCACTTACATGCATAGAAGCACCCCACCTGAGCTTACTCTTATATGAAATGAATATACAAATAATTACATTTAATACAATAATACCTGAATGGTGGCTACAAATGTGCGACTATAGCTATCAAATGCAACGGTGATTATATAAATGGTATTTTGTATGAATTGTAAATGAGTAAAAAAGCAGAAATTTTGTATATCTTGACATCTGAACACATGTGAAATTGAATTTCCATAGTATATCATTTCTTGGTGACACTAATAATAAAACAATTAATACATTATCAAGTTATATTTAAGTAGAAAAAGATTGAAAACAAAATTACTTACTGTAAACAAATGAACATATAAAGTTGCAGAATGTGAATACCATAAGCAACCAGCAATTGGACAAGGAAGCATGTTTGCAAATTCTGCTAGAGTGTGGTTTGATCCTATTATTTGATCCTGTTGCTCACCTTGCACCGTCAGTTCATTTGAAATAGACTCATTATGATTCTGTAACTAAATAATAATTTGACTTAATAATTAATATAAAAAAAGTTATAAACATATTTCTGTGTTACATGTTCTGGAAAAGACCAAGGACTTGTTAATAATCTTGATTCATAGTACTGCAAGGTTCTAATCACTTCACAACTGGAATCTGGAAGTTGCATGAACTGGACATTATTTGTTTCTATGTAATTTTGTATAATATCATTTTGTACTAATGCTGTATCTTGTGGCCCTAACAGAGAAACCTAAAATGCAACAAATTCAAATATACTTCTTGCTTTAATGGGGATATTAACATTTGTGGAAATAATTTACATCGTCTAATGGATTAAATGTTTCACAGTTAACAAACGGTGTTGACATTTCTCCATTTTCCATACGAACTGACATAGCCCAACGTTGATCAAACTCTTGCTGCTCTTTTTCAATGTTCTCTGCAGACTCATTACTCAAAGTATCAGAATCATCAATACATAGCACTGTTGTTTCTGTATCAGTGTGATCATTTCTATAGAAAATAAATTATTTAAAATTGCGAATAATAACATAAATTATTCATATAATTTTACATGCTATAGTTAGAGTTATCTAGCTCAAAACTAGCATTAATGTCTACATCAGCCAGTTGTGGGATATCAGGAAAAGCTTGAAGGTTAGATAGGTAACCATTTCCAGGTACAGTAGATTTGATTTCTTTTGTAGGTATGTTTAACTTTTTATTGCTGTTTTTCCACTTTATCTAAACAGTAAACACAATAGTGTTAATAAATCAAAATATCAATTAATTCTTTATAATGCACAAATTACTCGAGATGAGTTTTCAGCAAACGATGAAGCTCTATGCAAACCTTCTAGATTTAGAGATTTTGATTTGTCCAACTAAATAAACATATTATTTAAAATTAATACAGTCATGCAACGAGCATTAGTGAAATAAAGGGTTATTAATTGTATTTTAGAAATATAGGTGCATCTTCTATTTTATCGTATGAGATAACACATTGAGCAGTAACTAAAACGGAACAAGTGCACTTTACCACCCCATGCAAATTTTTCGATTTTTTACTTATGTAGCTCATTGAGTTAAGAACAATGGTGCAATCAGAATTTATCGCCCTCACTTAGTTTTGAAGTTAAGGCCTTCCAAAGTTTTCAATTTCACGTTTATACGCATGCGCGTAACACTACTATATGCCGCGCGGAGGACTATTTTTGTTATTTTTTTGTACTTACGTATTCTATCCTGTATTAAACGATGGTGCAATAATAATTTATCCCCCGATTTGCTATGAAACACCTCCCCTAGTGGGTCACAGGGTTAAGAAAATTGCATTTTTGTTGCAACCGCGTTGCGCTCATGCGTAAAAAAACGCAAAATTGCTTACTTCCAAGGGCCATAACTTTGAATCCTAAGTGAGAGCGACAAATTCTGATTGCACCATCGTTCTTAACTCGATGAGTTACATAAGTTCCAAAAAGAAAATCGAAAAACATGCATGGGGTGGTAAAGTGCACTTTAGCCACTAAAACATTAGTATACCCAATATAAAACACATATGGCGTTCTCACCAGATACCTTCATTGAACAATAGTCTTTGGTCATCTTTGTTGTGAACGCTATATGAAGCATGATAGTGGTAATAATTATGTTTGATGGTAAACTCCACTCAAAAGGTGTTGTCATGATGCAAAATGAAATGTAAGTTTAAACACATATTATGTCAGTGTTATATTACAAGATTCACTAGATTGTATTAGACATTTTGAAATAACACATAAGATAAAATATGGGTGAAAATCAAATAGAAAGATTAATTTTAAAATGTTATATTATTTTGTAAAGAGTGTACTTATATCGCTGTTTCTGGTATGATATTTTAGACCATAAAGTCAGTGGTTCAGACTTTGCAATTAAAAAATTGGTTTTTAAAAAAAAGTAAAAATACCTAGCTAGTTAATGACAAGTGAAATGTTAGGTTTGTTAGTATTAAAATAATTAGGAAATTCAATTTAAAAAAAAAAATTAAGTACCTGATAATAGTTACAATATGGATTGTTACTGTTTGAAATAGTAAGACTAGCATTTGTTGAAGATCTATTAAACCTAGTTCTATCTGTTGAAAGCAACATATTTCTTAAAAGTGCACTTGTAGTCTTTGCAATTGGAGGTCGATAGACAATGTTCTCCATAGAGCTAGAAGAGGACACCTAAATGTAAAAACAACATTAACCATACAATGATTTCTTTGTCTTTAAATAAATTTACTTATGTCTAATAATATAACAAGAAGTACCTTGTTAAAATCATCAAAAGCTAATAAAAATTCAACTATAATACCTAGGTAGGTGCATAAAATAAATAGTGGCAAGCAGCAATACGTTTTTCACATGCTCAGAGAGCAACCACAATTATATGTCCTCCCAATTGTTATTTGTTGGAGAAAATAATGAATGATGGAGATAAAAAAAGCATAGGTACCCACCAATATTTCAATAGGTATCAGTAACATATTGCTACTGTCAGTGGCGTATTTACGGGGGGGGGGGGGGTCCCCGGGTCTCGACCCCCCCAGAAAAAAATTTAAAATTCATAAATAACTTGGTACGTATGTACCGAGAAAGAGAAAATTAATATTATAAATAAATTTGTATTAATAAATCATAATAGTAGTGAAATATACATAATATAATATAATTATAACATCATAACTCGTATGTGTATTTTTTATATTATAAACTTGTAGGTACCTAATATTTAGACCCCCCCCACAAAAAATTTGAAAATACGCCACTGGCTACTGTATAATGTTTTCCACTGATACAAATATCTAATTATATTTTAGAATATTAACACAAATACATACATGAGCTTCAGAATTAGGCTTCGATTGTCTAACAGTAGAGCGGATTTGAGCTCTTTCAACTGGAATACTTCTAGCTACTTGTGTACGCATTTCTATACACTCTAATGAAGTTTCAGATGACAGTTCTTCATATTTAATTTTTGATTTACGAGGTCTTCCCACGGATCGCTTTTTTAGAAGCTTCTTGTTACCGGTTTTTTTCAAACTCTGTCTTTTCGTTTTCATAATGTGCGCCAACGTTTTACACTCAAAGTGAAATCCCATTCGATGTAATCTCAATAATTCAACATACTCGTCTTTCTGTAAAATATTGAATTATCTACGTTTATTAAAAAAACTTAGATACACAAAAAAAAGAAGATGAACATATCAATTGATGTGAAAACGAAACTGTATTTCGAAGACAAACCACCCCGAACGTTGAGTATAAAAAACAACAAAGGTGCGTAGTAGGTATTATGGTATTATTTAAATCGAAATCGTACGGCAGACGAGGTGGACGCACAAGAAGATCGACAAGAGAATGGCGCTGCAGGCACACGTCCCGGTCGTCGGCCGGAAAAACAATGCAGTTCGTGGATCCCAGGAAAAACGTTCAAAGACAACGGATCTTTGGCGCGGAGTACACGGGCGGCGACCAAAACGGGAATAAAGAATAATACTATTGACAGGACGACGCGAGGTGAACGCCACGATTAAGCACCGAACTGTCTGAACTACAGAAGTCCGATTGTCGCCTGACGGCGGCGGGTCACAATCTGCCGCCAAGTCCCTTTGGCGCGGCAGCCATTGGCCGGTTGACCGATTACCTGAAATTTTCGAGCGTGCCGGCCGGACGCAAAACCGGTTTGCGGCGACGAGCGAATTCTATAAATACACTTATACACAGGACAGCGTTGGGAAACCCGGGAAAAGCATCGCACGCCAATCATATTATCGCGGACGACCCACATAACATGGATACGGTACGTTTGTAAACGTATACACACGAAACATGGGAATATACTATAATATTATAGTATGCATCGTTAATTGATTTAATATTATTTTATCTAAGTTTTTACGCGATAGTAGGTAAACACCGACGACGTCTTACCTAATGATTTAGTATAATTAAGATTAAACGATTATCGCCGCGTCTTGTTTGGACGATTACAATTATTATTATTTATTGTTGTCATTACAAAATGTGTAACTACAACACTATAAAACCACCTGCAACTGACCTTTAGATTCCCGGGCAGGCCGAGGCTTAGAGCACACTTCACCAGCGTCCGGTACGATGACGATTCCGTAATCTCATCAGTCATTATCGCGAGTCGTCGGTGACGTTAATTGCCTTGGACAGTCGTGTATTCCTATCGCTGTTCGAACCAAGCCAAATTCTCAATACTGTACGTACGACGGTTAAAAAAAAAATTCAAACACAACACTTGAAGATACTCGTGGACCGTGGTTTAAGGATAAGTGTATGACCAACGGCAGACGTCGTGTTCTGGTAGAATGGAATCGATGTTCGAATTCTTTAGGTTATGACCGTTTTTTTTTTTTTACAAACAAATTTTAAAAATAGCCATACAGAGCAATGGAAATGAAAATAATTCAATTGTTGATACCTACGTGAATTTTGATTTGTACAATCATTATCTTTTGATCGACTTCTGAATGATTAACTTTCTAATCTATCTTCCTTCAGAATAACGTCTATAAATATACATTATTATAATAATCATACGTATATAAAATATGTGCTTCGATTATCCTAAAACATTTTGTTTAATTATATTTGAAAAGATTAACTGTTGGTTATTATCATATTAGATATTGATATTAATATTATCGTTGATTTTACACAGGATAATTCTTTATTTAAAATTTTTTAGTGTTTTTAAATATTATTTTGTTCACAGTAGCAACATTCTGTACAAGTCTATCTTTTATTCGCTTACATGTATGACCGTGTATGTTTTTATAATACCTTGTATATGAATTATAAATCATTCAATTTTGTTTAAAAAAAAAGTACCTACTTATATAGTTCTTTATTTTATTATTAATGATTTCAGTATTTATTTTTTTACGATAATTACATATTATTATAATTATCTCATGGTTTTTAATGTCATAGTCATAATGAGCAATGAGACAATAAACATTGAAGAATATAACTTAGACGATTAAATTTTAATCAACTCTAAATTATCAAAATGTTGATTTAAATCATCTAAATCTGAAACATAAAACATACTATAGTCTATATAACTATAAATTATAATAATTTACTGTATAAATATAAAGTTTAAAATAAATAATAATAAAATTAGGTAGGTAATAACTAATAATTATTTTATTTTTTATTTGCAATGTGTTACACGAAATTATTTACAGATTATAATTTATAGAATAACAATTAATTACGTACATATTCAAACTATATGGCTAATTAAAATATGAAGATATTTTTTCATCGATTTGTTCTGACCAAAGGCATTTATGATTTTTTCATAATTGACTAATTTTGATACTTCTTGTTCAATGGAAAGCAATTTTTTTGTCCAGTTCTTTCTGCGCAAGCCGAAGTTACTGGTGCCAGGTAATATTGACCACATTATTCTTTGCAGCATTTCATAAATTATAGTTCATGTTAATTTACCAAAATTAATTGAATAATCTCCAGTTGCTTAAAACGTTCCTTCAATGATTTAATAGCTTGGTTGATAAGTCCATTATAACAAAGTAATATGTTACTTTAAAATGTTCTTCATTTTCAATAACTTCATCATTAGCTTCATAATCAAATAATTTTCTTTTTCTTTCAACATTTTTTGAAAACTGAATCTGCTAATTAATTTGATTTGATTTTGGCTAATTTAAAATCAATTTCCCTTGTCTGTACTTTTTCGAATATTCAAGAAGACCAAACATCAACCTACATTGTATATAGTTGGAAACAAACATGTTAATATGTTATACCATTGTTTTGTACATTTTTACTTAGTATATATTTTGTTTCAATTAAAACAAACTTGGGCAAAACTTTGAAGTTTAAATCATCAACTAAGAATATATAATATTATAATAATATAATATCTTCTTAGTTTATGCTTAGAGCCTTGAAGGTAGAAGCAAAAATATAGAGATAAGATATTGGTATTGACAATTTTTCCTAACCGCCGAGTCAAATAAGAGATACGTAGAGCGAAAATACCTAATCGTCTTTGTTACCTACTTACCTACCATGATGAAGTTAATACTAATTATTATTAAAGGAATAACTATACTTTATTATCCAATGTTCTACGATAATATACGTATATTATATTAAGTCGCTTACACAATGGGAGAAGGTGAGTGTCAAAACCCCCTTTCACAAAACTATAAAAATTAATAAAATTTTAAAATGTTGATATTGATACACATACAATATACAAATAATTTTTTAATATAACCCCTCCTATTGAAAATATCTGTGAACGCAACTGTATAATATTATATTACCATTGATTAAATATATATATTTCTATTTATTTAGTAATGGATATTACACTGTTTATACGCATAGCTTAAATGGTAATACGGAAATTAATCGATCAAAACAATAAAGTAATAAACAAAGACAAATGAAACACAATAAATACGAAAAACATTTTTTTTAAATATTATAATAGTATTAATACAAAATGGTAGGTAATTAAATTGAATAGTTCACTACAATCAATAGGTACCTACTTAATAACATGGCAAAACTAAATTATAATAAACGTATAATGATTTGCATATAGATTTGTTGAAAAGCGGGAAGGTTCAGTGAAGCTGAACATTTTATATTTGTATACAGTAATACAGTATACCTATATACCTATACCTATAGATTTAATCATATCATGTCATTAGCATGACACCTGCTAGAGTACCTCCATTCCATCACTCAACAGTCAACATATCAACGACTCAACAGTTACCAATCACAAGTACCTACATATTTTTTACGCTACTACCTATATCTATAATATATTGTCATATTGATATGTTTGAATTATGAAAAAAGGGTGGTTACTGGTTAGGTATATTTATATTATATTCACGTTGGGTTTGTTACCCCCACCACAGCTACACTCATTGTATGGCAACCGGAAAAATAACATTATTTCAGAGAACTACTCAACTACTTTATAAACAAAACTCAAATGTTTGATATGTGTTATCAAATTTGTTGTTTAGCGCCAGCAGTGAATAATGATTACTAATTTATAAACTTTTTATATTGTTATTTGTATTTTTTTATGGATTATAGGTACAAATGGTACAATAATGGTACACTATAATTATGTGTGTAGCCGTGTCTAATAATTAATATATTTATAGCATTTTAAAGTTATAAATCATTAATCTTCTCAATACATTATTCATTAGCACTAATAATATTTTAACCTAAGGTAGACATTATAAAAATTATTTATTTTCTCTAAATATTCTATTACCCATCAATTGTAACTGAGGCGTATCTACTTCGGTTTGTTTAAAATCAGTACTAATTGCTCTTTCAATCAAAATGGAAGACGACTATGATGAATATCGTCGCTGGGACGGTGACGTCGATGTAGAGGTTAGTTTTGTAACACTACATAAATTATCACCAACTCTATATTTACATTCTTTAAGTTACATATTAAAAAAACAAACAATTTTCCAATAAATGTGAAATTATATTTATTTAAAATCTGTAATTACCTATACTGTTTTGTTGTATGATTACGTTCTCTTGTTAAGGCTGATGACAATGACGACATATTAGAAAATCCGGAAGAAACTTTAACTCAATGCTTAGAGAAATTTAGTAGTGCTGATTATATCATGGAACCAGGAATATTTTCACAGCTTAAAAGGTATTTTTAGTTTATAATTATTACTCATTAGTATACCTATAACCCATAATAGTTGATTTGTCTTCTAGAATAAACTATGTTCATAATTATTTTAACATCAGAAATACAATATTATGATTTATGAGAACAATAATTTGAATAATTACAAGAATAAAAATATGTTTAAATGTTATTATAATGTTATTATTATTTATATGAACAATACTATTTCTAGATTTTTTTTTTTATTGGTCTTGAAATTATAAATTTCTGCTTTGACTACTAAAACCATTAGCATTATACATTGTTATATCCATTTACATTTTAATAATAACTTATTCAATTAAAAATTGAGAGAAAAATATAAATAGAATAAAAATTAATTAAATAAATACATATTTCTAGATTTTTATCTTCTTAACAATTATAAAAACGTTTTACTTCTATTAATATTTTTTTAATAGTCTTTGATTTTTGCTTAAAGAGGAGGTCGTCTCACCTGCAAGACAAGTGTTGTCTCTGTAAAATGTGTGACATAACAAATTTACGTTCAGAAATTCTGAATATGTAGTTATTTTGATTTTTTAATTTTGAAGTTAAGTATAAAACATAATAATTTAATAATGCTCATAACTTGCTTCAAAATTAAAATATCGAAAAACACTTCCTATCGCTTGTAAGTCTGAGACAACACATGCAGGTGATACCTAATTTTCATAATTTATATAATTCAAAAGTATAATTGAGGTTAGCAAAAATATTAATTTCCCTTACTTTTTAAACGATTTGTACACTTAAGACATTTTAAATACAATTTCAAAAAATATTATTTATAAATTAAAATCTAAGAATTTTTGTTATTTGATTTTAAGTTTTTTTAACCTATAACCTTTTTAAGGAACTTATGTGCTTGATTAAGTTATTATTACATTTTTCTGGTCAAACTTTATATTGATTTATTTCTCTGTAAAAATAATAATTTGTAATTAAATAATACATTTTGTATTACTGTATAGGTATTTTCAAGTGGGTGGAACTCCTGAACATGTTATAGAATTATTATCAAAGAATTATATTGGTGTTGCTCAGATGGCAAATATGGTAGCTGAATGGCTCATTCTGGGAGGTAATGATATAATATGTTCACCATTTATAACTTTAATATATTACTTAAGATTAACTTATATAGAATTCATATTTTATTCAAAAGAATATTCTCTAGTTACCTAGTTTGTTTTTAGTTTATTTATTAAAGTATGTTTAAAATAAAAATATTTTATAAGGTGTTGCCGTTGGTGAAGTTCAATCCTTCGTTGAAAATCATCTCAAAGATATGGTATTAAAAACATTTGATCCGAAAAAAGCTGATACAATATTTAGTGAAGAGGGAGAAGTATGTTAATTATTATTATTTATTATTGATATAAGTTATTATTTAAAGAAGTATTAATTGTTTTTAATATGTATTGTAATCAACAGACTCCAGCTTGGTTAACAGAAATGATTGAACACAAAATATGGAGATCATTAATTTATAGATTAGCAGAAGAATATCCTGATTGTCTGATGCTTAACTTTACAATTAAGGTATTAAGTATTAACTATTACTGTAATAGTTTTAGATTCTGAGCGGAGCGATGAATGTATTGGTCTTACAATGATGTTTTTTTTCTGTGTGTCATCATCGTTTAGGGCAGTAAATCTGCTTAGATTTTCTTCAACACTATTTTGTTAGATGGGGAAATAAATCTAGTTGGTGTATTCAGGAATTCAAAACCCAAAATACCAAATAGTTTTCAAAAGCGCATTAAAAATTAAGGAAAAATTTGATTTTTACGCAAAATCTAGTTTGGCTTTTGGTTGAACTCTGAAACAAATGACCGTAGATTCCTGAAATGTTCACTGGTTGCTTATGTTAGCATTTTCTATACACGATACAATTTTGATAATGATATATTGATTTGTTTTTAACTGGTTTACGAAAGGTGCTAAATGTTTGGAAATTAGTTGAAAAATATTCAAAATACATAGTCACCATTTTTTATTAGCATTTAAAAGGGAGCATATAAGATGTTGGAAAATTATTTCAATGAAAACAAAACTTACGAAAATAATTAAACCGTAAAATATTTTATTGAAAACAATTTAATAGAAATATTTGAATTTTGACAAGTACGTAAAAATCACAAAAATTTGCAAATTATTTTGTTAGAAATTCATAAAAAATGTTCTTTTTAAATCAATGACTTCGAAAGTGTCATCAGTGGGTGGCTTTTTCATTCAAGATTTTCTTCCTTTTGTATTATAGCCCATACTCTTATTGTGTCTTATTGTGTACAGATTGTGTATTTTATTAATGAAGAAAAAAAAAATCGATGACTTCAAAATTGAATACAAGGTTTCTCATAAGTTTGCCTATCTTTGTCAAAAAAAAAAAAAATTTGATATTTAAGAACGATTTTAGTTTTGTGTTATATTTTAAAAATGTGTTGGTACTTGAAACTTCATAGTATATTATTATATAGAAATATGATAATAAACAAATAATCATAATTCTACTTAACCAGCTACCGTATTGATAATAACAATATTAATATAATATAAAATATTCTAGACTGACAAACTGAATCTGTTCAAAGAAAGAGGGCTGGTTCAAACCTTTCCACTTTTCGTCTTATGCTTGACCACTATATGTCCCTTAATATACGTTATTGATTAACTAATTATTTGTTAACAAATCATCCATAACATAGAATTAACTATTAAATATATCAGTATAATATCCATAGTTTTTACTTTGGTTCATAGAAATTATTGATAATTACCAGTATTTACTTATCAAATATTATAATTTAATTATCTCCAGCCTTTTGATATTAACTTAATATTATTCTTATTTTATTTACTAATAGTTGATATCAGATGCAGGATATCAAGGTGAAATAACAAGTATATCTACAGCTTCTCAACAAATTGAAGTATATTCCCGAATATTAAAAAATTTTATTACAGAATCCATAAAAACTTCTAGTGAGAATCGCCAAAATACAATACAAGAATGTGCTGTAAGTTAAACTATTAACACCATATTGTTATTTGTAATACTTTTTTAATTAAAACCATAAGCTATCATATATCGGTTTCCAGTTAATAATAATTACTGTATTTATTAGTTTGTGAATATATTTTTTTTTTTCTTTAGAAAATGGTATGTCATAGCCAACATACATATGTTTTTACATTAGTTGCTCTTCAAGTTTTAGCTAAGGAAACTAATGGAGGAGTTAACATGAAAAGATTTTCTCAAGAAATAACTCGCTGTGCTCAAGAAAGGTATTATATTGATTTCAAGATTATTAAATTAAACTTTGTTTCTCAATTTGGTTTTGTTAAGAAATGATGTGACTCCCATTACTATGGCATTAAATGGCGCTGCCCCGTATGACCAGCCTTGTGCAGCTTTAAGTTCTATGTTATCGCGAAATGCCTTAAATCCTGCTGATATAAATGTATTACATAAACATTATTCATCAGCAGATTCTCCTCCTGTCAGCTTACTCAGAATACCACAATTTCTTGGTTAGTTTAGTTTTAAATATATTAGGTACTAATTATTTTATTTATTTTTATGAAATAAGTATAAATTTTTTTCAGAACTATTAGTTCAGGCTCTATTTAAGCCTGGAATGAAATTAAACCCAGAATACAAACCCAAGTACATATATCTCTATGCTTATTCTGCTAGTGTGTATGAAGTAACATCAGGTAAAAAAAGGAAAATTATTAATAAGGACGACTTAAAATCTACAATTCAAGCTGTTGATAAAGTTCATAGTATATGTAATTTGAATAAAAGTTCAACAGAATTAATTGCTGAAGTAGCAACTATTTATCATTGCATCAGGTATTTATATTAGGATAAATATTACACTTTTGTAAATACAATAAACTTTAGTATTATGTAAGATATGCGCTATACTTTTTTGAGGAATGAGAGAGTAAAACCCACAACATTTAACTAGACGTTGACTTCATGTCTTTATAATTGAATGTTGTAGGCAGTGATGTGGAGCTCAACATGCATGAAACTAGCATATTTTATTATAGACGTTGGCTGTTAAGTTTTCTTGTAATTTCAGAATTGTAAGAAATTTTTTTGTTTCTATGTAGATATCCGGCTGTTGCTGTTGGTTTAATATGTTGGGTTGAGAGTACTGTGACTGAACCCAGTTTCTTTAAGTTATGTACTGAACATACACCAACACATTTAGCACTCTTAGATGAAGTTGTTACATGCCATCCACAACTGCATAATATCATATTAAAATTATTTGTGTCTCTTTTTGAATCTAAACAGGATGAACTAGAAATTCTAGTACACGTGAGTTAATAAATAAATTATCAGTTTTAGTTTCTTCATTTTATAGAATAGCTCATTATTTTTTTTATATTCTAATTCATTATTAAATGAGTATTAATTAAAATTAGTATAAAATCATTCACAATTTCATTATTGTTTTAGTTGGAGATGAAAAAGATGCTGCTTGACCGTATGGTGAACTTATTATGTTGTGGTTGTGTTGTTCCAGTTATAAAATATATTGAACAATGTTGGCATAGAGGAGATACTGATATTTCTTTAATACGTTATTTTGTTACAGAAGTAAATAATTATTTATACAATGTGTAAATGTCTATTTTATTTACCTGATTATTTTTTTTGAGTAGGCTTTGGAAGCAGTTTCTCCTCCTTATTCTGTTGAATTTGTTGATTTATTTTTACCAATTGTTGAAAATGAAGAAATAACTGGTACAATGAGATGTGACGGAGAAAATGATCCAGTTTCAGAATTTATAGGTAAGTCAATTTTCATATTTTTGAATTTTAGCTAATAACCATACATTTTTGTTTAGTGCATTGCAAAGGAATGACAATATAATTTAACAACATATTAACATATTTCATGGAAGTATATAAAAAATGTATGAACTATTAATTTCATGTACTTGATTATTATTGTATATTTTTGTAAAATTATAAGGTTTAAAATATATTTAATTTTATGTTTATTTAAATTGTCATAACTAACAACTTAACAACAAGGGGTAGACTGGTCTTCTGCAATTGTTATTGCAATTGTAACAACATATCAAGAGCCTTGTATTACATTTTCACACTTTATGACTCGATGAATTGACTTATATTGATATTTGTAGAAAAAAAAAACTAAAAAATTTAAAATTTAAAATTTTATGGTTTATAGAAAATATCAGTTTAAACATTCGGTCAAACTTTCATTTACCTACTGTCATTTGTTTTAGAGTTACACCAAAAACCAAAATCAATTTTGCATAAAAAATTCTTGTTTTTCCTGGTGCTTTAGAAAACTAATCTGAAATTTTTACTTTCAATTCCCCATTGTAATAACATTAACTAGATTCACTTTCCTATCAGAAAAGGTGCTGTTGAAGAAAACCTAATAATTTTTATAAATTAATAAAAAAATCACATTGTAAAATCAATACATTCATTGCTCCGCTCAGAATCTATAAATCTTCGATAATCGATACTTGAAAGCTATTGATACACATTTTAAAATTCTTCATATTAATGATAAAAACAAAATATATACCTATAGGCTATAATACTTTTCTTATTAAGAGGATATCAGCTCACTATTTGATTTGTCTCTCTAGCCCACGCGCAACGTAGACAAAACACATTTACGCAGAATCATTTTTCTTATGTTTTTAAGTAATCTTAGGGTAATATCACCCATTACAAAAAGATAGAGAATAATATTTTTGAGGGAATGATATATCGATTTGTCTAAATATTGTCTCAAAATAGTTTAAACATAATTTAAATTTACAACATTTTTTTATTTATTTTTAAAGTCGAATACAAAGTCAAATAACAATAAAATATAAAATTGATATGTCATTCCTTCAAAAATATTATTCCCTATCTTTTTTTTATAGGTGATTTTACTCTACGATTACTTAAAAACATAGAAAAAATGATTCTGCATTAATGCGTTTTGTCTATGTTGGGCGTGGACCAGAGAGAGAAAACAAATAGTACGCTAAATCCTATTAATAATATATTAAGTATTGAACGATAAAACGTTAATAATTAATAATTATGTTAATAACTCATGAGGGTTTATTTACCAGCAAATAGTAACACACAGTCCACCACATTGTACTTCTATATAGTGTTTTTTTATGAGACCGATTGGCTAAAAATTGTTATAAAGCAATCCAATTGTCCGTAATGTTTATCTTATTGCTAATCTCGTCTATCAATTATAGAACTATGTAATAATTTATAACAGATTAATATTATGGCTTAATTATGACTAAAGACCGAACTTATATTCTCTTAAAATACCTAAAATATGATGCTAATATTCTCTAGAAAACCTTCAAATATTCTCATTATATTCTCTTAAAATTTTTAAAAATGTGCTAAAATATGCATAAATATGCAAAAATAATCAATAAACATCATTATATGCTTTAATATGTATTAAAAAAAATTTTTTTTAAACATTATTTTAATACTGAGGTTTTAAAGTTGCGTATTTCAATGGAATACTATTGCACTTTAAAAAGAGTTGTAAATGATAAAAAAAAAAAATTTAAATGTTCAAAAAATTTTTTTCTGGGACCGTAACATTAAAATTAAAAAAAAATAAATACAAATTTTTTCTCACAATTTACAAAATATTCCAAAATATGCTAAATGGATTAAATATTCTCTAACCCATGAAATATTCTCAAATATGCGAAAAAAAACACTTTTTTACGCATTCAGAATTGAATGAATCGTCCACATTTTTTACTCTCATAAGACTGCATGGACCCAGTAACAATATGTAAAAACATATAAATCTGGTCTTTAGTTATGACCAATATTGCTTTAATTTTTTTTTTCGGTAAATAATTAATAATTTAAAAACATAAAATTCATGGTATTCAACTATAATAATAATAATAGTTGGACATAGATCTATGTCTAAGAAAATATTTGTGCCAAAGTAACTTTTGCATCCACTAGTTGTGCCAATGATCTAATTCTGTATCCAATATACAATATTCTTAATTTCTTACACCTATATTAAATTTAGTATGTACTAGAATGGTCAACCACTTATTACAATTTATTTAAATCCAAATTATAGGTAACCATCAAGCATTATTGGTTACTATACTCTGTTCCAAATAAGAACAGTTTTTGTTCCGCAGCGACCAGACGCCGTCCCACTACGGCAAAGCATGAGGCACTGCCACGGGAACAAAACCATGCCCATATGCACGACTCGGTCGCTGAAGCCTGTTCTTATTTGGAACAGAGTTAGTGTGTATGAAATTATATTTTTATTATAGAGATAATCATAAAATCACATTATAATAACATGCTGATGACCACTGTGATTTGTGAATTATGTTGTGTGTACGAGTTCAATTTGTTACTAATTGACTCTTAGAATGTTAGTCAACAATCACTGCAAAAACAAAAAAAATGTACTATCTATAAGTTAGAACAAATTACATGAATACTGTTTAATAAATAAATAATAAAATTGTTGGTATTATAAATAATATAATTAATTTTAAAAATACATTTTTAATATTTTTAATTTTTACTTTTAATCTATAAATATAATAATAAAATTAGAATGTTTCAAGTATTTACAATTTGATCAATTATCACGAATCTTCAGAGTGTTTCACTCTTGACAGTGCTACATAAGATTGCTTAGTTTTATCGTCATACCATCCAATTGGTCCAATTTCACAGTCAGCACATATAAGATATTTAATGCCAGATTCAACAGTCTTTGAAAATCCAATATTATCAAACATATACATATCTGGAACCATCCAGTAATCCGCCAACAGTTCGCATTCAACAGCTTCACAATTTTTTTTTTGAGACATGTGTGGAAGATTGAACTATAAAAATAAAAATAATTATTAGACAATTTACTATGTTAATTTACATGAAAAATTACTTCGATTCTTAAATGCTTTCCCATTGTAGATGACAGAATCTTGGATGGGCATTTTGTGCAATAAACAGTGTGTTTGTTCTTTTCTTCAGTAATCAGATGATTAAAGTTATTTTTAACATCAATTTTATTATCATCAGTCATCTTAATGAGTAAGCTATTTTACATTAATAATATTAATAAAGTGAAGTGTGAATAATTTGTTAAATAATATTTAATAAATATTAACTAATTATACTGAAATCGGAAATCAGTCTTATACGATTATCACTGAATTATGCGGTTCTTTAGTTTTGATAAAAATATAGATAAACGAGAATCAGGCTTGTAACTGTTCGGGGTTAGAACGTTTTATTATTACTCTGAGGAACGTTTAGATCATAGAACATAAAATTGTTTTATGTTTAGATTATGGTTTAGATCATCATCATAATATTCTACGTCTCTTAATGCATTTAAATTGTATATAAATGTCAAGTATTCTGATTTTCTAAGCTCATAGTTAATATAATACAAAATTTGTAAGTTTAGATCATAATTTATAATTTATAATATGAGCACACATTTTATAATATAATATCACTGATCTTCATGTTTGTAACCACTAACCATAGATAATATAGAATTTATTATTTACCTAACCATAGACTAGTTTACTACTTAATTTATAGGTCTATGTACCTTCCTAACCCATGATAGAAATACCTGCTAAATGTGATAATTATGATAAAATCACGGACTAAGATATACAGGACTGGACACGACAAGGTTGGAGGGTGTGGGGGGGTTGACTACGAAATGTTTTACAACAGGCAGTGTTCGGGGGGATATTTTCCTTTTAGCATTACTAGCGCCGTCCTAGTGGATACTTATGGAACTAGAACACATCATACAAATTTCTAGTTCCATAAGTATCCACTAAGACGGCGCTAGTAATGCTAAAAGGAAAATATCCCCCCGAACTCCGCCTGTTGTAAAACATTTCGTAACCACAATATTCATCTCGTGTCCAGTCCTGTATATCTTAGTCCGTGGATAAAATGAATCATAATAGAGTTGTAGTTTAGTGTTAAGATCAAAGTACCAAACACTGCAACTAGTAGCATAAAATTATATATATGCATCTGACTGTAATGCCTTAATGGTTTTGAATTATGTTTTACATCGGTGTTATTTTAAGGTCAAGGATATGAGTTTCACAGAAATTTCATTTACTCAATAATTTACAGTTTATATATTTTATTTTGAACGTTGATATTATTTGAAAAATGGGTAACCGATCATCGTTGCTTTTGCGAAAAGAAGAAATTGCTCAAATTAGAAATGAAACTGGATGTAAGTATTAAGTTGACAAATGTGATTATGATTTTACTGCCTTAACTATACATGTTCTTTTTAAATTGTAAGTATTTCTAGATCTACGCAGAAATCAATTAAAGTTTCAATGAATTAACCTAGTGAAATCATTTACATTTATTCCTGTTAATATGAAGTAAAAATAGAATGCTAGCTTTGACGACATTGACCAACTGGTTTTTATTTTGTTAGTGATACGGGAAAAATTGGTCGATGGCACAATGACAATAAAATTAAACTCTTTTTAGATGGTCAAATGCTAGTGAAAAAAAGTTTTACATGCATTATAATTTATATATTATTACTATTAGTTTATAAATACATTTTTTTGTTCTAATACTTTTTGTATTATGTTGAGCTGAAAATCTACTATTCAGATTAACAATTTGATCCATGCCATGAAACTAATTTTAATACAATTATCTTACAGTCACTGCAAATCAAATAGAACGTCTCTACAGTAGGTTTACCAGTTTGGATAGAGGCGATTTGGGTACGCTCAGTAGGGAAGATTTACTGCGTATTCCAGAGTTGGCAATAAATCCTTTAGGTGAAAGAATCGTTGATTTATTCCACGCAGACTTTGGGAATAATTGCGATCGTATTAATTTCTTACAATTCATGAGAGGGCTATCTAAATTTAGACCAATTCGACCGAATAAACCAAACAAACAAAACAATAGAATGGAGAAAGTAAAATGTAATCATTAATTATTAGCCGATAAACTCTTGGCTCATAGAGCAGAATTTGTATTAATATATCATCAATATCATTTTAGTTGCTTTTGACATGTATGATGTTGATAATGATGGATTGATATCAAAGGATGAACTTTTGGTTATTTTACATATGATGGTTGGTGCCAACATTAGGTAAACATTTTAATGATTTGTATGTTTTTTTCAGATTCTAAAATTTTAATCTTTTTTTTAGTGAAGAACAGTTGTCTATAATTGCAGATAAGACAATTTCTGAGGCGGACGTAGATGAAGATGGTTTAATTTCATTTGATGAATTTAGTAAAACATTTGAAAAGTCTGATATTGAAAACAAAATGTCAATTAGATTTTTAAACTAATCGAACATGCCTATTATCAACAGATCATTCCGCTCATATTATTATATGTTCTTTTAATTTTATAAATTGTTCTAGGTACACAGCATTAATTTTAATAATCAGAGAAAACTAAATATTTCAATCCAAAGACCAATATTTTAATTAGTTTTTATTCTTTTATTACTAATAGAGTAGATTTATGCAAAAAAATGTTGAATATAATATAATATTTTAGTATAATATATAATTTTTATAATTTACAAATTTGTCTTTGATGTATTTATTCAACAGAGAAAAAACAACTGTTTTCGACACAAACAATTATGTATGAGTATAAAACATTTTGAAAAATGATCGAATTTTCAATTACTGAATAAATAAATAATAATAATAAAAATAACAGTACATTAGAATAAAGAATACTTTCTACGCATTGGATGAGACAGCTAGCTTTTTCAAATGTTCCATAAACAGTTGCAAGCTTACATCATCTGTCAAAACTGGTGCTCCACCATCCTGAAATTAAAAATTGACTTCACATCTATAATATATAATTATAAAAACTAATTCAATACTTACACCTCCATAAGCATACATATTATTATGTGTTTGAGATGGGTTAACTTTGCATAATAAAAATCTTGCCTGAAAATAAAAATGTTATTTTTAGTTAATTATCATTTATCAGTAACAATATGTTTGTGATGACAAAGTTATTAAAATAATTTACCTGACTACCGCCTTGTTCTGTGTCAATATACCGAGGCATTGGGAATCGAGTTTTGAGGATTTCTTGAGCATCATCAACTGGAGCTTGAAGCAACTGTTTGAAGTTACTATACTCTGGTCTATTTTGATAATCCATAGCTCTCCATTGAGCAATAGTCTAAATTATATATTATTATATTATTCAAATATTATTTTAAGGACCATAAAAAACTAAGTATGTGAAATTTGTATTTTTGAATAAAAAAAATATATATATTAACTTACTTCTCCGTGGAATATCAAAATATGGAAAAATGTGTCCATCAATAATATTTTGTCGGGTTGAATACTGCTGGTATCCAAAAGTACAGGCTCTGGCCTACCATTAAAACTATAGCTGTACAGAATAGGTTGTATCATGATTAAACTCTGTGTAACATCTTCACGCATCAACATGTGTCTAAAACAGAAATATATGATAATTTATGGATAGTTTTTTAAATGTTCCTTTAAAATTAAAATTTACCTATAATATGATGTTTCATCAGGACTATTGTTAAAAACTTGTAGAAATTGAGACCTTCTTAAATGATACATGAACTGTGGATATAAACTGAAGTTTTCTGGCAATCGGAAACTATTTGGATCATCTTTTTGATAGTCACCAAATTTCTGACACTGTATTTAAATTAACAACAATAAAAGCTAATTTTTGTTCATATCATTTAAGAAATAAATATGTAAATATTTATTACCAAGCGTATAAGCGTACGATCAGCCCACCGCATAACATCTGGACTATCTTCAGTTTCAGCACGGTTCACTACCATACGAGCCATTAAAACTGCAGATGCCTCCTGATCAAATGCTGCACTAACATGCATCATATTTTGCACAGGGTCTGCCCAACTAAAAAACAAAACTCATTAGTCATAAATATAAAATTAAATTAGTTATGTATACAAACAAATACATACTTCCTAGCTAATGTGGTGACTCTTATTCGTTTATAGCCACTGGAATGTTGGTACTGAGTAATAAACTGAATGCAACCACGTCCTCCCTGAGGTATAGGTGATCCATGCTAAAAAGAAGAATACAGATAAATATATAAATTTTATATTTGTGTACCTATTCAAAATGTTATACAACTATTTACTTGATTAACAATTTCGAAGAAAAATGCACATGTAGTGTTAGGCATCAAGCCACACATTTTCCATTGACATGTACCACCTAAACCTAAGTCACAGTCAGATACACATGGGTTTTTGATACTTAATGATACACATGGACCTATTGCGCCCATAACTAAATAAAAATAATCATTAAAATAATTGATGTCATTGATTTATCATAGGGTCACAGTATACAAAGACACTTTACTTTTCAATTCTCTAGATGTTTTTACTTCCAGAGTAGCATTAAATGCCATTTTTAAATTGTTTTCATGATCTCGCGCCAATACTCTTTGGAACGTTTGCTTGAATAAAGATGAATTGAATGAATCACCCATTACCATATGGCCACTAAAATTAAAATTAAAATAGAAATCCTAATTGAAATTTTTCATGAAAATATTTCATAATAATAACAAACCCAGTCGTATTACAACATTGCTTCATTTCCATCAAGCCAGTTTGATCTAAAGCACACGCATAGATATCAATTGTATGTCCATTGGTTGCAGCACGAACTGCTAAGGTATCGTAATGTTTAGTTGCTTTTTTCATATATGGAGCATTATCTTTCATTATTTGGTCGTGGGAACGAATTGTATCGGATAACTTTTCATTAACTACATGACCTGGACCTTGGGAACATGCTCCACCAACAAATAACATTATACGTGCACCAGTTTGTGGATATGTAGACTGTAAAAATTACTATATATATTTCAAAATATTGTAATTTAATTAAAATAATTAGTGATTACCTCCAATAAGCTAACAGCAATGGATAATGCCATTCCTGTGCTCCTTAATGGTCTCATTCCTTGTGAAACAGGCCACGGATCTTTTAAAAGCTCATTTAATAAGTCTGACATATTCACATCACAATTTTGAACCGGTTGTATAAATCTATATAAATATTTACATCAGAAAAAGTAAAAATAATAATTTTACTGGGGAAATACCTGTTTGCTGGTACATTTACTTGTTGTTGTTGTGCTTGCTGTTGGGGCATACCAGCTTGTGCAGCTGGAGCAGCATATTTTCCAATTCCTAATATATCTTGAATTTGTTTTGGTGGCAAGTCTTTAGTACCTCTAAACACGTATGACTTAGAAATACCTTCACAACCCAATTCGTGGACCTAAAAAGGTATGTAAATATTAATTGTTTATAGACACATACAGTAGATTCATTAAATAAATTATACAGTTAAATAATTTTCATACCTGAACAACATTTCCGAATGTGATTAATCCAACAAGAGCATTTGGTGGTAATAAACTAAGAGACATTTGTAAAGAGTCTTTAAGAGCGCCAAGTTCTTCATCATCCATACAAGTATCCACAACAAACAAAAATATAGGTGGCATGGTTTTAGATCTCTAAATTAAGTATAAAAAATCAAATAAAAAATATTATAAATCTTAATTTGTACCTATCACCCAAATACAAATATTTAAAACATTACTGTTATTGAGTATTCAATGGTAGAAAATGCTGGAATAAGTTCAGCTGGTTGGTGTTGATCTGAAATTGCTCCATATTGAGGAGGAAACTAAATAAATTTAAATTTATAATTATTATAAATTTAAATAATAACTAAGATAATAGTAGTCATACTTACAGAATTACATTGAAAACAAAAATTACATATCCACATTTTGCCTCTATAATCCACTTGACATAAAGGATTCAAAATTGCTCGACAAGCATTACGTGTACATAGTACAGGATCATACTGTATTGGTGGTAAATCTATTCTTGCATAAATAAAATTTTAGAAATAAATTGATCAATTTTATAATAAATTCTATACTAACCAGGTCTTTCTTTCAATGGCTGGTAAAGACAACCTACTGGTACAACAAGACGGGTTGCTTCTAATCTACTAGCTGGCCAAACATTCCACGACAAGCGAACACCATCACGCTCTTCATTTTGCTCAATAAATTCTTCGTACGTTGACATGTTTACTAAAATTAGAACAAATATATTAACAGTAAGTAATATTAAATTTAAAATGTCTATGTTAGAATGTATGCAAATGCCAGTAGGAAAGCTCCATTATTGTTGGAATCACTTTTTAGCCCTTATAAAATAATTATTAATGACACCTACTTTTATTTAACCCTTTCACTGCTACATTATTTATCCACTGCAACCTATATATGCTACGTAAAATGAGCTTTAATTTTTTTATTTTAATTTTGAGATCTATAGGATCTAATTAGGTAAGTTTAAAATAATGAGAGCAAAGGTTTCCAAAACTTGCATGGTTACAGGCAAATGAGAATAAAATAAAATACAGGGATGTAATAGTACATTTGGAGCAGTAAAACTCGTAAAAGGGTTAATAAATAAATGTTCAGTTTGACCCGATAATTGTTGCATTATTTAATTTAGTATAAGGTACATGAAAAAATAGAAAACCGTGGTAGTTTATTATCTATACCTATATATTAACACTAGAAATTATATAAGCTTAGAATTTAAAATAAAAATATTAAATTACTTAATCATAGATTATTGGTTAACTACTGTGAGCTTAATTTGATTACATTGATACAAATAATGTTAATTCTATTGTCAAATTTAAATTGTGATTTTATTTAGTTGTTTCATTTATTATTCCAACAAATTGTTGAATCTATAAACCGTTAAAAACAATAATTGGGAACTCCCTGTATTCATACTAAATTATTAATTTGGATTTTATATAAAAAGCAGTCAGTCATATTTACTTTTAACATACGCTCACGTCTCCTATAAAAATGTCTGAAATGACTTATGAACTGCAAATCTATAATACCTAATTCTTTTATATTATATTATTTAATATTATAAATAAATATAAATTTAGTTCACCTTAAATATGTTAATAAAATGTTTATTTTCCAAATAAATTTAATTGATTTTTAAGCTATTAAAATAAATTCACTAAGAGAAAATCATATTCATATAATATTAAAGACAATTTAAATGCAGTATGAAATTCAAACAGTATAGCCCTATAAATTTAAAATCTAATAATCGCGAGTTAATTTTAAAGAAATGTTTGATAAAATGCAAAAATAGTAAAACTGTAGTATATTTTATATTACATTTTTAATTTACCTTAACGACACGTCAATGAGCTGATTTTCATTACTTTTTCATTAACTTTAATATTTTGTAAAGTATTTAGCTTAGCAGTATAGTATTAATTTATTAAAAAAAGGTAGAAACTAAAAACACTTTCCGAAAAGGAAGAACACGTCACTGGTCACTGGTAGCTAGTCCGTGGCTTTATGATAAGAGACCATGGTAACAACCCACAAGATAATCGGTCTGGTAACAACATTGTCGGCGGCGGTGGGGGAAGGCCACCAAAAGGTTCCTCCATAGATAATTCCATGACGGCATGACATAATAGATCTATCTATTTTGTCATGGATAATTCTTCTATTATTTATGTTGCTGACATACCCTTTTATTTTGTCTTGACAATATTTTTACATGCGGCCGGAGCTACATGGGTATAGTCGGGACGAATCCGTTCTATTCCCTCACAGTATATTTAGCATGTACGCTGGCTGCGAGATCAACTCGGTCGTACACGTAGGTACCTGGTACGTACTTCGTGAGTGTCCTCTTCGCCGACCGGCGGAAGCCAGACGCCAGTCGTCCTGGAATACTCGAATTTCTCTATCTAGGGCATAATGTAGCAACGCTACATCAATCGCTAAAAATAAAGTAGCGTCGCTAGAATTAGGGCGCTACTCCCGACTACTGTATTTAGTCCATGTTTTATACAGATGTGAGATGGCCAATAACACGAAGTAAGATATCTTAATTCGTGCCAGTACCGGATGTCCGGATATAGTGAAGGGGGTGGCGAGAAGTTGGTATCCTTACCCCGGGCGCCGTTGATATAAATGCGCTCAAGCGCTCTTAAGTTTATGAAAAATAAAAATGTTACATATTTCCGAAAAGTAATAATAGGTTATTACACAGTCATTCGTTATTTACAACGAAAATTTAATAGAAGGCTACTAGTATATTGTTTCAAAGGCAGATGAAAAATATTAAAAATCCTTAGTCGCAATTTTTTGTTTATAAGCATTTAAAGTTCAAAAATTGACAAAATATGGAAAAATCACGAAAATTATCAAATTATTTTGAGTTAAGAATTCGTAAAAATTTTTCTTTTTAAATCTAAGATGTGAACATGTAATAGAAGATTCCTTATAACTTACCACGTTGAACGCAGATGTCAACTGGTAGGTGACAGTGTGACACGAGTCACGAGTAACTGAGCTCCAATGGCCTGTGTCAACGGCGTCGCTTAATTCAAGAAAATATTTGTCAGGAATTCATGATGGACATAAATTGACAGGTTTTTTTTTTTAAAAAGACACTCAGTTTTTATTCATTAAAAAAAGTATGTATCCTGGAAAATGAAGTTTTTGTCCGAAATCCCTCTCTTTTAACTTAAAAATATAGTGTAGACATTTTAAGAAGAAAATTAAAAAGGTTCTTTTTGAATTAAAACCCCTCAATTAATTTTAAATTCCTGGTCATTTTATTGTCGGGTATTATAATTTAAACAATATTTATGTGGAAAATGATAAAGTTAATATATTTTATATTTTTATAAGAGTTCTTTCAAATACTTTCGAGTAATGTTCATTTAATTAGTTCAAGTTTAATATTGGCATAGTCTGTACTAAACCAGTGGCGTCCGCAGGATTTTTCAATGGGGGGGGGGGGGGCTTGAAAATTAGTTACAAATTTATTTTTATTTTGTCCAGTCTAATAATTTCAGACGTTTATTTGAGGTATTTTAAAATGTTTGTAACTTTTCAACTTTACTGGTAGAAAATATGCTCTTATCATAAGCTTCGATGCCCAGTGTATGTTTTTGGAAGCAAATTGGATCTAGTTGGTACTTTTAGGAGGTCGAAATTGAATCTGCTCAGTGCTTTTAAAAGTACCTAATTGGAGGAAAAAAAATGAAAACTTATTTAAATTGTTTGGTAACAGTAGCTTGGTTACAGTGACGTATTTATGGGGGGGATATGGGGGATAGATCCGGCCCTCCCTTACCCATTTTTTTCCATGTATAAAGTACAAACTGCTGCAGTACTGTTGTTATTTATAATTTTGATATCCTGTGGGCATGTGAGTGACGTTACACAACATTTATTATTATTATGTACCTTACATGGAGTAACTAACAAAAAGTTGCAACAGCACTAAACAAATTTTGATATCCCCCTCCTCAAAAAAATCCTATATACGCCCCTGCTTGGTTATACCGTCCTCACTTGGATTGTATTAGATTAATTAAAATTTTAGATTCTGAGCGGAGCGATGAATGTATTGGTTTTACAATGATGTATGTTTTTATATTTTTTATTTTTTTTGTGTCTGTCATCACGTTTTAGGACAGTAAAAGTGTTTGGATTTTCTTCAACAGTAGCTTTTCTGATAGGAAAGTGAATCTAGTTGGTACTTTGGTGGGTAAAAAATTTCCTAGTAGTTTTTACAAGCGCCGGGAAAAATAACATAAAAATTAAGGAAAAACGGGAATTTTTACGCAAAATTGGTTAAAAAAAATCGATTTTGGTTATTGGTGTAACTCTAAAACAAATGAACGTATATACATGAAATTTTCACTGGTTGTTTATATTTGCATTTTCTATACACGATAACATTTTCAAAATATTTTGATTTATTTTGAACTGTTTAGGGACATTTTCATTTTCCATTTTTTTTTAGTTTTTTTTCTAAAAATATCAATAAAATTTTATTTGTTGGTTGCAAAAGCTTGAACATTTAATAGAAGGCCCTAATATATTGTTTCAAAGGCAGATGAAAAATATTTAAAATCCTTAGTCACAATTTCTTTTTATAAGCATTTAAAGTTCAAAAATTGACAAAATATGGAAAAATCACGAAAATTAGCAAATTATTTTGAGTTAAGAATTCGTAAAAATTTTTCTTTTTAAATCTAAGATTTGAAAATGAAACACAAGATTCCTTATAAGATTATCTACCTTTATCAATAAAAAAATCTCTACCGGACAGTCAAATTAAATTTTTATGAGCGTTTGAAATTCAAATTTTTACAACATTGGATATTCACTCGATTACTAATGTAGCGATTTCTTTATTTTGTTGCAATACAAAAACGAACAACTGTAGATACATGAAATTTTCCCTGAATGTTTAAATTAGCATTTAAAGTTTTATCTGTTGGGCCAAAAAGTGTAAAAATTTAATACAAGGCTCCAGATATATTGTTACAATAGCAGTTGAAAAATATTAAAAATACATAGGCACAGTTTTTTTTTATAAGCATTTAAAGATCAAATTTTGACAAAATTTATCAAAATCTCGAAAATTATCAATCATTGTAATTAATAAATTATAAACTGTTCAGTTTTTATAGCTAAGGATTACAAATTCAACACAAAGGTTCTCATAAATAGTTCATACTATAACCAAAAAATCTAAAAAATATATGAACACACTTATTTTTTACAGACATTTTAAATTCAAATTTGGACGAAATTACATATTAAAAAACCTAGAATAACTATTTTAGTTATTTTGTTGTGATTGAATAATATTATTCGTGGGTACTTGAAACTTCTAAAGTGTACTATTATATATCTATGATAGTATCACGGTTTTTGTTGATGTATAACGCGTTATAAGTATCTAATGGACAGGCACGCCCGCAGAGATGCAGCTCAGGGGGGCAAACAAAATTTTTTTAAATAAAAACAAATTTAACTTTATATAAAATTACACTATTAGTTCTTATATTTATAAGAAAGAACATACTTAATACATTTTAAACAAAAAACCACTTTATTTAATTTAATTTATATCATATTATCATTATTCAAAAAGTAATGACAATCTCCTTTTGTTTGAAGCAAACAAATTAATTGAATCATCAATTTGTTGATTCAAAAATTGTTTATGATCATACCTTTGGCGGTGTATATTAATCAACCCCAAGCTACTCAGTCTTTCGTTTCCCATCCTATTTCTAATCCAAGTCTTTAAACGGCGTAAAGTGCTGAAACATAATTAAATAGTTATTTTAAGTATGAACTTATATACACTGAATACAATTTGTAAAAATACTGATTTAAAAACCGTACCTAAACGATCGTTCTACTGAGCAGGAAGTTACAGGTAAAGTAATTGCAATTTGTATAGCTTGGCATACCGCTGGGTAATATGTGGCGTAATCGAGAATATCAATTAATTTCATAGTGGGTTCGACTTCTTTATTTTTCCATAGATCATACCATGACAAATGACAATGCTTGTTCTTTAAAATTGTCTAGAAGTGAACCATAAAGTGTACAAATAACTTCAATACTTATTACTTTCTATGAATTAGGAAATGGACGTTTACTGTCTTCAACATCATTTTTAAAATTGTAATGTTTACTAGGCATCCATAGATTAGTTAAAAGATCAAACTTTTTATCTTCAGAAATTTGTGAATAAGTTTCTATAAAATGTCCTAAATCGTTATTGGAAAGCACATTGGTGTGGTCTACAGAAATTAATGCAGGATCAGCTACGCATTCTTCTATGAGTACTTTATCTTTGTCACCAATCATAGCAAGTGACTTCTATAAAACCATAATAAATACATTTAATGCTTATTACAAATAAATTAGTAAAATAAAAATATAATCAAAGAATTTTGAGTTTGTTTTTAAATTTATACCTACATTATTTAATAGTAAATTTTAATTTTAATTTTAATTAGTAAAATTTTACTACACACAGACACACTAAACTTACTTCTTTAAAATTAGCTACAACATCGGTATGGTCAGAAACAAATTCAGGGTCATCTACACATTCTTCTACTTCATGATGATCAATTGCAGCAAGTGACTGCTATAAAAACAACACAAAATAAATACAGTATTAGATACTTACTACTACTTATTACTACAATTAAATGAGTAAAATAAAAATATGTGAAAAGAAAGAGTCTTATACACTCTTACCTTTAAATAATTAAAAAGTCTACATTATAATATAATCTAAAATCTTTGTAAAATAAAAATAATAGTAAATCTTACCTGTTTTCCTGAAATGTCATTATTTTGAACAACGTCGTCAAGTTTTCGTTTTTTAAGTTTTTGTTGATGTTGAGGTAGTCGAGCTGAAGTATTTCAAAATATTGTTTTTTGATTCTTTGCTCATTTTATGTGCGGTGGTAAACAGATTATAAGACAAATTGAAAGCACTGCTACAGTCTACAGAGAATAGAGTACAAACTGACTGCGCAGACATTTCAATACGGTCAATTATGAAAAATGCTATCGAAAGGAAATGTGAACATATATTGGGAATTATAATTTGTAAGATATCGATATCGCAATCGCAGAAACCGCTAATCGGTTTTAATATTATATTATCTGTAATTCTGTCGTAAACGTCGTACATTATACGATATAATTTATAATCCCGTTTGCTTTATTGCTTTCCAAGTATTTTGATTTGATTATTATAATAATATGTTTTTCATACACGATTTCGGCAATTACGCCTAACCATCCAAAAGTATTGAAAATAATCGTAATGTCTTTTATTGCGATTAAATACCTCCTATATGACTTGTTAGATACAAGGATTGTCGAATAGTCGCTCAAGATCAACTTTATGTAAAAAAACTTCCAATTTCGTAAGTGACACGAAAAATCTCAGGGGGGGCAATGGCCCCCACTGGCCCCTCCCTCCGGGCGTCCCTGCTAATGGATATTGTGATATGATTAATTTGGAATTTATTATAGGTAGGTACCTATTAAAGGTCAATTTTTTGTTTAATACCATAGATATGTATATAATATGTCTTATACCTAGACTGACACACCGTCTCCGCTCAGAATCGTTTTTCTTATACAATGATATTATATCATTGAATTCAAATTTAATACCATCCATTATACAGCAACCCACTTGTAACCTACTGTACAGCAGAGCGACACCCACTTGCCCACCTTTTTTTTTTTATAAATGTCAATAAAAAATTATTTATCCGGTCAAAAAGCTTAAAAATGTAATACGTAAGTTTTTTATTATAGCTAAAATATTAACGATACATATGCATTTAAAATTCAAAACAATTTAACCACAGTTAATTTGTAGTTCAAAACTTATAAAATATAAAATATGTACAGCTAAGGCTAGACAATTTAATACAAGGTCTTTCGTACAAGTAGTTCATATTCTTTTACCGAAAAATTACAGATAATTCATGAAAATTGGTATGCAAATACAATGTTTTTTCAAAAATGAATTCATTCTGGTAAGTCATATATAAAATTTACGTCTTGCTTACTATAGTTGATAGTTTAAACTTGATTAATATTTTTTTTTAAAGTAATAATAATACGGCAATGGGAGGGGGGGCTTCAGCCCCCCCCCATGCGGACGCCACTGAGTGGCGCACACTCAAAAATATACCTATAGGGGTAGCAAATTGAATCGGTTACCTCTATATTGGCTAATAGACTAATGGCTATAGGCTATAGCCTATAAATTTTCAATAGTTTATACCTATTCAATATGACAATATTTTTATACGTTGTAATATTGTATGACGCCATACCAATACATTTATATGTATTAAATACAAGAAATAAACATTTAAGTAGTTAATCAGAACTTTATTTTAAAATATAAATGAAATTAACGAAACATATTTTACAATTCAATCAGAAACTCCCCCGGGGCTGAAATGATTGTACATTTGTACTGTAGTAAGTAACAACAACAACCCAGGCTTAAAAGTAAGTAATAGGTACTCATTAATATATGTCTCAAGAATAAAAAAAAAAATCACAAAATTGCGAACTTCCAAAGGCCATAACTTCAAATCTAAGTCAGACAGACAAATTCTGATTGCACCATTGATCTTAAATAGTGAACATAACTCATTAATAAGTTGCAAAAAAAAAATCGAAAAATTTGAATGGTGTGGTAAAGTGCACTTTAGCCAAAACCGGTTTTGCTACCGTAAATCTGGTATGATTTTATTCTGAATAATTTTATGAATTATTTTATACAAAAATAAAGATACAAAATGTGAAGCCAAATAAAACCACCGGTAGCTCTGAAAACATTGGGTCCCCAAGATGAGGAACCTTATTTGGTGACCGTCCCCTGACCAACCCGAACATATCGTTTCCAGTCATAGGGGCATGGGCTTAAGATAATATCCATGGTATATTTAAACCATGACGATAACTTATCATATTTATATGTGTTTATTTATATGTATCTACTATCTAATATATTATATTATCCGACTCCGTGACACGTTTAAAATATCTTAAATCGTGGTCCGTGACGGATTGCTACCTTTTGTCCCACAAAATTTTTGTTCCAAATTATATTTGTTCCAACTATATAAATATCCACATTTTACTTTAGTTCCATATTTTTTTGTTCCAACGGATCATGGTGCCAACCAATATATATGCCAAACAAACTTGTTCCAATACATATATATTCCAATCAACAAATGTTCAATAATACATTTGTTCCTACAGACTTTTTTCCAATCTATATTTATTCCAATAAATGTTTCTTCCAAATGATATTTGTTCCAATGGACTTTTGTCCCATGGTATAATTTTCATGCAGGTGTTCCACCTTGGAAATATAAAAATTCCCATTCCATTTCAATTTTCATCCCAAAATTATATATTTTAAAATTCAAATATTATTGTACAATTATTGTAGGGTTAGAAAAATTATACAAATTGCAGATATTACGAGTTGTTTTCCGGGAAATGTTCGCGTTCGACCAACACGAGAAACGGGAAATTTCCAAATTTTGAAAATGTCGCTTACGAGTTACGAGTTATATTAGTTAGTAGACATTTGATAGATATGAGGCCATACCGGAATTTGTGTACTGCACACGATAGTGATCAATGAACATTAAATTAAATAATTAATTAATTAAGTTGCCATCACAGCAGTGGCGTGTAGACAAGACACAAATGGGACCTAGGCTCCACTTGAAAATGGGGTTAGTGTGGGTTTTAATAAATATTGTGTTTAAAAAAAATTGTGTTTTCATATAATTGTATGAGGGCCTTTAATAAAACGTATATTATTTGCAACTTTTAGTTTTGGGTGGGTGGTGGGTGTAAAAAAATTAACTTTGCCCCAAATGGAAGCACGCCACTAACCTACAGGGGGTTCTAAGGACATGTTAATTTAGATTTCAAATTTTGGGTCCAAAAATCTTTTATTCGTTTATGCTTCGTTAGTCCTTCACTGTGTTATTCATCCGGTCGTTAGTGCTCTACTCCTTCAAAAGTTATTGGCATATCGTACGGGGGGAGGGGGGTACTAGTGACGTACTAATTCGAGTCCAGTCCCCAAAGTTTTGTCTTGAAAAATAATATTTATGATAACATTGAGTATAATATATTGTTGTACAATATAGGTACGTATATTCAATGATAAGTGCCGGCTCTATGGGTGGACAAATGGGACATATGTTCAGTGCCCCTCGCTTTCTAGTTTCTAACGAGCCCCGCGATTTTTAATATCATCTTAATACCGTGAAACACATTGACATTTTATATTAACAAATTATAAATCTATACATTTGTTGTACTATACTGCACATGTATAATATATTAATATTAATATTATTTCTATCATTAATTATTTCGAAAATGATATCTAAATTTAGCCATAGTAGGTACAAAGTAAATCGTTATCGATACGACGAAGGAGTAATATTTTGACGGTACTCGAGGACTGTAAGAGTAATGAGTAACCTAACCACAATTATAATTATAAATATTTATTACCCTTATAGTTATTGTTTTTCTGTTCTTTGTTTGGAAAAGCTTTCCGCGTATTGTCGTATAACCGTATTATAGAAGCGGCAAGAGCTATATTCTTAAAATATTTATTTGATTATCTAGTATTATATGTTCGACATTTGAGTATTTGACTGCAGTCCGCTTTGCCCCTTAGAGTATTTTTTCAACAATTTCTGCATAATATCATAAAAGTAAGTTTTCATTTTATGAAATTATTATTACAATTCAGTTTAGATACAGTATAGCAGTATTAAATAATAATATGTACCTACTGCTTGCGTATCTAGTGTATCAGGATTAGTTTTAACATATTGTATTGTCTACCACCGCGTACTTAGATATTAAACAATTTATTATATCATTCAAACATTTTGATGATTTCATTTATTTTTAATTG